CAGCCCCCCCGCCTGCACCCTGCTGGGCACTGCCCTCCTGGGGGCACTGTGCTGTGGGTGCGGGCGGCAGGGCTGCGTCCCCATGTGGCACATTGCGCAGCCCGCCCTGAGTCCCAGCCCGGTCCTGGCCCCAGGGCTGGGGTGGCCTCCTCTCTGGCCAGGGCCGGAGGGATGCTGGGCCTGGGGGTGGGTGGGGGCTCAAGGCTGGAGCTGAGCCCTGCTCGCCCCACCTGGAGGCCTGGGGTCTCTGTGGACAGGGATGGAGGAGGCGTGTAGGTCCCAACTCCAAGGGCAGCTCCGCCCAGCCCGGTCACTGAGCCCTGGGGCCAGTGGGGTTCCCCGAGGGCCAGTCAGGAAAGGGCCCTGGTGGGGTGCAGAGTAGTGGTGCTTCCTGGCCTCCCACGCAGACCCCTCTGGGGTGAGAGAACCTCAGTCTCCTTTGGCCCTGAGGCTTTCCTGGGGCCCCAGGTCTGTCTGCAACCCCCCACCCCCACCCCACCCCCGTCCAGGCAGAAGCTCAGGGAATGCTCCTTCAGTGCTTCAATGTGGCCCTGTGGGCTCCTCTTCCCTGCCCCCCTAGCCTGAGAGGGGGAGCCCCCCAACCACTCCCCAGCCAGCCGCCTTGCAGGGCTGGCTGCAGGGGTGATAGGAGCAAGGCGGGAAAGGAGTCAGGCCCCGGCTCACTCCAGCCAGGGCCCGGCGATAAGGCCGAGGGGCAGGCCGGGAGGCCTGACAGCGGGAGATTAGGACAGCTTGGAGCTGGGGCCGGGCAACAGACCCTTGCCCCGGGAGAGGAGCCAGGACCAGGCCGGAGAGGCACCCCAACTCCTGGCCAGAGCCCTGCTGGGGAGCACGGGTGTGGGGTGGCCGGCCAGGGGTCCGGCCCAGCTTGGCCTGCCTCGCTGTGGGCCTCGGTGCCAGACCTGCTGGTGAAGCTCACCATCCCACCGCGGGGTGGCTGGGGCAAGAAAGGCCCTTCAGTCACCACAGACGAGCATGTGACGTGCGGTCCGGGCCGGGAGTGCGGAGCCCGGGGGTGTGGAGCCCGGGGGTGCGGAGCCCGGGGGTGCGGAGCCCGGGGGCAAGCCAGTCCGCCGGGAGGAGCTCTGGGCTGTGCTGCTCTGCCACCCCCGTGCCCGGCCCAGCGTGGCGCATCCTAAGGACCGAGGCCAGTTCCGAACCAGGAGCCGAGGACGCAAGGCCCTTCCCTCCTGAAGATTCGGGGTCTCCCCACCGTCAGCCTCGCTCGCGGGCCAGCGGCCGGTCCTCCCCAGGCGCCCGCTGCCCGCTGCCCGCAGCGGCTTATCTCTCAGGGCCGGTCTTCCCCGCCCGCTCCTCCCCCGCCCGCCGGCGGGGCTCCCTGCCCTCTTCCTTCCCCTTTAGCCTCCAGGCTGCAGAACCCCCCAAGGGTGGGACGCAGCCAGAGGAGACCCCCCTGCTGTGAGAGGATGGCTCGCAGGGCTCCCCGCACCTCTGCTCCCGGGGCACCCGAGGGCCGCGCTTTCTCTCTTTGGGAAGGGGCCCCGCCGGCTGGTTTCCCCGGTGGGCAGCAGAGGCCAGCACCCCACAGGCTCTTGCAGCCAGGACCTGCTGGCCTCAGCTGCTGGCAGGGAGCTGGGTCAGTGTCACCCAGTTCATAGAGGAGCCGAGGCTTAGAGGCTGGACCCTGGTGCCCCCAGCCCTCCATGCTCTTGACCATCGGGTGAAGGGGGGTGAGCACCCCTCAGTGCTCAGGAGGAACGGGGGGCAGGGCCTGGTCCCCCTGCCGCCGACTCCGGGACTTAAGCACCGGGAAACGGGGGGGGCAAGAACAGAGTTCTCCTGGCCCCCCAGTGTGAGTGCACCAGGTCCGGGGGGCCCTGGAGAGCTTTGGGTGGGGTGGCAGGTGAGAGCAGCCTTCACTAGGAAGCTCTGCTCCCCACTGCAGCTGAGACCCCAGCACACCCCGCTCAGCGCAGCTGCTGTGCACCCAGAGCCCAGCCACATGCTCTGGGACTCACAGGTGGGCACGGGAGCAAGGGCACCCCAGTTCCTGGAGCTCCCCATCTGGAGGGTGGTGATTCTCGGGGTCCGCTTTTGTGAGGGCCAGAGCCTGCAACCTCCATTCCCTTCTCCCCTCTCCGAACATTCTTCCCACCAAGCTTGGCGCGGCGACTGCAGCCGGCCAGCCCAGCCCAGGGCCCAGCCTTCAGTGCACCCCTTGGGTTGTTGAACGCACCCAGGGAACTTCCTTCTGGCCCTTGTTAGCTGAGTTAAAGGAAAAAAAAAACAGGAACCAATCACCTCTACGGTAGTTAATTAACAACCACACCGTTTTGATTCACACGAACCTGTTCTGAGAAAGAGCTGAGAGCAGAGATTGTGAAAGAACCCGATTTCTTCACGAAGCAGAGGTCTTGATGGTATCGGACCTCCGGAAAGACGCGCAGCGTTAACATCTCTTAAAAAAACCCAGTCCCGATAGAGGGTCCTGGCCTCCTCCGAATCACAGCGGGCGCTGCCAGGGCGGCCTGCCCCAGACTCCGGGCGGGGTTGGGGCCGGGGCCTGTGACTGCCACGCAGCCGGCACCTGTGCCTCCCGGGGGGCTGAGTCTGGTTTTGTGACCTTGAACTTGACCCGGCGCCGGCGCCAACCTGGAGCTCGGCTTTTCTATCTCCCACGAGGGACGGTTGGACTGTGAGATTTCTAAACTTCCCCTTTGTGCGCAAATCCCATGCATGGGCGGTGACCTTCGGTGCGGGACTGACCCACCTGGACGGAGAAGCTCAGCCTCGGGTTCCCTTTTCGGGCGGGTTGGGTAAGACAGGCTGCTTTCTCAGCCCAGTGGGACCCTTGGACTTCCCTTATGTTTAAGATGACTCAAGGGGAGCACAGAGACAGACAGGCCTTTGCACCCAGGAGCCGGGGAGCCAGAGCCCTTTCGTCTTGGGGGCCCCAGCAGAGAGGGCAGGACGGAAGCCTTCATGATTTGGGGTTCTCCAAAGTCTTCCCTGAAGTGAGGAGAGCACCATGTCGAAAGGGAGAGGATCTGTTTCTGGGTGGAGGTCCCCCGCGAAAGCCGGGGAGGGAGTAGGGATTTGCACCCCGAGCTTACAGCCTCACTGCTCACGAGCGCCCAGCGCGGGCGAGCCCAGGGCGGGCGAGTCCAGGTGGCCTCACTGCATGAGCAACATGTGGTCTGGACATGCAGTGGACTATTGCTCAGCCACGAAGAGAGGAAACCCCGACACGGGCGACAGTGCGTGGCCCTGAGGACACGGCCAGTGAGCTCTGTCGCGTGCAGGCAGGCGCAGGATGCCGCTGCGTGCGGGACCCGGTGAGCCAAGCTCACAGACACAGAGGAGACCATCCTGGGGAGACAGGACGGATGGAAGGGGACGGAGTCAGTCTGGGAGGAGGCGGGCGGTGCCGGGAGCCGCTCGGTGGCGCCAGGCCTGAGCAGAGCCCAGCACACACGGCAACAATAAGCTCGCTCGAGGCGGAGGGCCACGGTCCTGAGCGGTGTCATGGCAAAGTGCAGCCTCTGGACCGGGGCTTTCACTCCCCAGCGGGGCCCCCAGCCCACTCTTGTGTGGAAGTCTGGTTTTCAGCGGCACCCCAAGCCAGTATAGCCCAGCGGCCGCTCCCTAACGTCCCCCAAGAGCCTTCTACAGGGGAACAACGGAGACCGACGCCCCTCTTTAGCCAAAGAAGCTCCGGGGCTGCCTCCAAGGGCAAGGGAATCACCCCAGGACAAGTCGCCACTCACTGTCCTCAAAGAAAAGTTGGGGAGCAAAGCTGCTCAGCCAGCAGCTACCAGACCGGCACCCACACTCTGCACACTGGCAGGATGTCACTCGGCACACAGGACATGCCACGGCGCCCCAGCTGGCGCCCGCTACAACAGCCTCTCCCCAGGCCGGGAGCCTCTCCCCAGGCCTCTCCCCAGGCCGGAGCCTGACCCTGGGGGAGCCTGACCCTGGCCTCTCCCCAAGCCGGGAGCCTGACCCTGGCCTCTCCCCAAGCCGGGAGCCTGACCCTGGGAGAGCCCGACCCTGGCCTCTCCC